ATTAGTAAAGTTTCATATTGTTGGCTACTTTCCTCTTGTCACATGGTAAGAACATTCATCACGATCTTTATCATTTCACTGTTCTATTAAAGATAAAATAGATACAGATTATTTAATCATCTAATTTTTATACAAATGGATCATATAATATTAAAATATATTAAGCCCCCGTTTAATTCCCATTCTTTACCCACAAAAATGAAAAATATGACCGTTATCAATCACAACATGTCACCATATTTGACTTTTTATTTCTTGTGTGGGTCATGTAACAACTATATTTTTCATTTTTATTCTTAGAAAAATGGGAATTAAATGAGGCCTAAATATTGAGTTTAAGTCTCATTGCTATACATTTATAAAAATCACACGACCTACAAGTACGGTTGCATTCAGCTACTAGAAATTAGTTTTTCGTGTGCAAGCCATTTTCTACAAAAATAGGGATTCATTGGACACACTCTTGAAGGACAAATAGAATGTCTAGTTCATTTTAGGAAATAAAGAACATGGAAAATTAGTTTACTCAATGGATAATAAATGAGACATTGATACTTAGAAAATTAGTCTACTCAATGGACAACTCACGTGAATGAGCTTAGAAAATTTGACTATCCAATTGACTTTAAATTGAGAGAATAGAATGAGTTAACATAATCAGAGTAAGCAAATCATGAGTTGATTTGATCTAACTCTATCAGGATAATTTCTTTTGAAGAGAAGAGTCAATGTAAAAGGAGTTCGACTAGATTTGGTGGGATCAAATTTGATAACGAATACACAAATCAATTGAAGTTTCTACTGGTAAGCTTCTCTATGTCCATAGTTAACTATTTTCTACGTCGTATTACAACACAATAACTACAAACTCTGAAAGAGAAAAACAAGTCGAAGCATGTCTGGACAAACATCCTAAGTAATGACATTTATTGCAGCCACATGTGTCACATTTTCTTTGTGTAATTAATCACATTGAGAAGGCGACTCAATCAGCCTAATGTCCCACCCTGCCTCGCCTACTATGAATCACGTGACAATCCTAAAAAAATTTCATTGTTTTTTTATTTGTGGGACGACACGTGTCACACAATCTTCATTCAAAACCCTTTATTTCTTTTTCTTTTCTTGGTTAAAAAAATGCAGAAATAATGCAGCCCTGTTTTAGCGTTGCTCAAATGGCACTCAACTTCACTTGTATATTCATATCCCCTTCCTCCTCCCTCCAAAAGGAAAAATGGAGCTTGCTCTTGAAAATCCATTGGCGAGCTTCGAAGACCAGCAATACGATGACGTTTCAGCTCTCTTCGCCAATGAATCAGATCACATGCCTTGGCGTCTTCTCTCCTTCAAATCCTCCGATCTTCGTTTCTTTATTCAACGCCATGCTGTCTCGCAAATCTTTAATTTAAATTCATTATCCAGAAAAAAAGAGAATTCATTAGTTTTTTTGTGTAAAAATTTAATTGATTTGTGTTTTTTCTATATATTTTCAGGCGTAGCTATGTTATGGTTTAGATCCATTTGTAGTCTACCTCTCTGTCAATTACATCGACCGCTTCCTCTCAAAACAAGAAATTCTAGTAAATATTTATACTATTATTTGATTTTGTATTAGTGAGCAATGTATTAAACTTGATACTAATCCAGGAAAAAAAGCCGTGGATTGCTCGCATTCTGGTAGTTGCAACCCTATCACTCGCTTCGAAGATGAGCAACTGCAATTTAGCAAATTCAATCTCCGATTTATAGGTACACTATATATCATATGATTAGAATATTGCGTAAGTTAAGAATGCCAAAATTAATGCATAATTTCCATCGAAACAAAGGCAAAAGGGTTTTGAATTCGATGCACATTCAACTCAGCGAATGGAGGCTATCATTCTGGAGGCTCTAGGATGGAGAATGCGATCCATCACACCTTTCTCATTTCTCAATTACTTCATCCCTCTCTTCGAAATCGATGATTCTTCGTTAATCATTGCTCCTTCGAAATCGATGATTCTTCGTTAATCGTTGCTCTCAAACAACGAGCTTCATATATCATCCTTGATTCGCAACATGGTAATTATCTACTTTTCAAAAGAAAAAAGAAAAATGATAAGCTTGATAGTGACAAATGTCATTTTAATTTTCAATTCCAGAATTAAAGCTTCTGGAGTATAAACCATCGACAATCACAGCCTCAGCGCTTCTCTGTGCGACTCAGGACTTAATTCCACTCAAGTTTTCTTCATTTAAAGACAAAAGTTCATCCCGTTAATACATAAATCAAGTAAGATACTATAAATTATACACATATTAACCTCTCAAGTGTGAGCATATTATTTAATTTGAGTTCGAGATTCGTCGAACTCAATATTTAAAAATTGTGCACATATCAGCACATTTAATTGTGAAAGATGGTTAATATTAATTAATTCTGTTCATGAGATTAATTTGTTATTTTTGCTAATGAGATTAATTTCATTGTACTATTGTAGGAGAGGTGGTTAGATTGCTTGCGCGCAATGAAAGAGATTTTGGCGAATGGGAACGAGTCAAATCTTCATGCATCAGCAAGTTGTATGTTGACACCCGTCAGCATCATTGACTTCCAACGCACAATATCTGAAAGCAATAATACCAGTACTTGAAATCATGTAATTCTCAAAAGACACTGCACCAAGAAACTGTGGAGATTGAATAATGGACGTTGCTACATGTACATTAAGCGCTGTTTAGACATACGGCTTTACCTATGAAGCCTCAGTAGGCGTTCTTTCTCCAAATATTAAATTAAAAATGTAAAAGAAAATGTTTTAAAAAGGGGGTAAAAAGAAGAAATAACTGTTACTACTTTTCTTTTGTGTGTGTGTATATATTTTAATATTTTTTTTAATATTTTTATACCAACAGACTTAAGAGGACTTCTATTGTTGCCATCAAAATGGGTAATTAATTAGAAGAAAGATATTTTGGAAGTTTTTCCAGGAAAGGATAAAGACCACATCCTAATAATCAGTATCCGAGCATCGTCTAAACATAAGACTCTGGCTAGGAGCTAGAGAAGGTCGTGTATAAAAAGTGAGACCTTGTTTGAAGCAATACAGAGAAACTCCATGCTCTGAATTGAAGAACTCGGAATTAGCTATGCAGAAGCTAACAGAACCCAATGATGCCAGCTAAGCTTGTCAAGCCACAAGGTCAAGAGAAGGCCTTCGTGCCTCTTTATAAGCAACACAGAAATTTCATACATTTCAAGAACTCAAAACTAGCTATATTCGAAGCCACCCCAATTCACCCGAAAATTTCAACAGCAGACGAAAATTACCCTCAAAATCCTAGATAAGACAACTTCATTTCTGCTGAAGGACACAATCTCTAATATATAATATAATATATTAAATATCTGAGAATAATTTTTTTGGACCATTTTAGCCTTATTATAATTCAATTATTTCAATAATACCTTACTTTTCGTTTTTCAATATGTATTTAATTTATTTAACCATTTAACTACTATCAATGTACGTGTATATTTGACAAATTCATTTAACCTGTGGGATTTCGAATTTGCTATTATTAATTCTCAATTAATTAATATTCACGTTCATTTAATTAATATTTAGTGTTATTAATTCTAATTGACAGTTAATTATAATTTCCCATTCAAGAATGTATTTCATTATTAATATTCATGTATCCTAAATGAATGAATTCACAGTCATTGTTATGTATATATTCCATGATAGTAATTCTAAATTAATTAACATTCACGCATATTCAAATATTACCTTTACAGTACTTATAAAGTATTTCATAATAACGTGAAATGTTAACTAGTATAAACAAAAGTGCCCGTTGCTAAAAACTTGCTGAAATTGATCGAAATTGATCAATTACAACACCATCTTGAGCCCCCCCCAGTTAAAATTAAAATAGATAGAATAGTATTTTTTTGAAGAATTGGTGGTTGAAAAATAAGAAAAAGTTTTCGATTTACACATAATATTATTTTATTGAAGATTGCGTGATTAAAAATAGGAGGGAAAAAATGAAATTAAATTTAACAACGGCCAAAAGGGGGCTAAGCCACCTAAAAACCTAACATTGCTATGACAATTGACTATTTTGAAAAAAATTCAACATTTTCAAGATTTTCCCGTTAATTGAAGTCAGCCCAACAAAAGGATGAAGGGCAAGAACTTGATCCACAAAAGGTTTTTGTAGTCAATATAATGTCCTAACAGAGCGCTCAAAGATCAAATTAGTATTTAACAACTCAATTCAGAGTAATGGTATAATTGTTGCAATGAGACAAGAAAGCCAGTTTGGATGACATGCATACAAAGTAACTGGCTATATGAAGACTAAATCTAAAATCCAGTTTTTAAAAACATGTCATGACCAGGCCAAACATGAAGCATAATCCCCTTTTTATATATTATATAAATAGGGTTCCAAACCTGCCCATCCTGATGAAAAAGCCCCTTCTATCATATTAGTCAAGCCACAAGTCAGAGAAATTAAATCAATCGTATCATTTGAATGGTAATTTTAGGGAACCATACAACAGCATATATGCAACAAAGATAAATAGAGCTGGCTATCCATTCAGAGTGATGATCATCACCTGTCACATGAGCATTACTCAACAAAGATGTTACATAGTTTGAATCAATATAACTACTAGTATATGTCTTCAAACTGCCTGTGCATTAAATTTTTAGCATATTAATTTAAGAGATCGTCAGCTATAAAAATGTTATTAGTAAGACTATACGTTCTTCAGGAATTCTCATGGAACAATCCACAGGAATCAGACCATATATGTACCGTCAATAGATGACGTCTTTACACTTCCATTAAAAAATGTAAGATGCTGTCAGGAGCATTATTCAAAATGTGGGCAGCACAATGCTGAAATCAAGTTTATATATGTACCCTTACCCTTTCTTTGCCAATTAAACATGCAACATATATCTAAGACAAAAGAAAAAAAATAATAATCAAAGACGAGTGAAGAAATACACAGCATTCATAATCTAGAACAAAATTGCATATTTTTCTCTAAATGAAATTTTAATGTAAGCCAGCTTAGTGAAAAAGTTAAACTATCAGCAAATATACCGGTGCAGGTTCATCTTCATCTTCCCAAGATTCTTTCACATCATTATCATCCACATCTTCATCATCCCGGTTACTCTTTAGTTGCTCCTTTTTGAGAAGATCTGGAATTGTCTCATCCTCTGAATTATCAAATACGTTGGCATTCAAAAACTTGTCTACCTAAAGAACTTTGGATAAATTTGATGAGGAGAATGAATATCATTACAAACCCTTAATAAACCAAAAATGAATAATGTAGACTACGCAAATTTGAAAGCATGCTTCATTGTCAAAGCTAACAACATCTTAATTTAGCTTTTCATACACAATGTGACGCCAAATTGATCAGAGTGCGTAGAAGGGATTTATCTTGTTTTCCTCATCAAAACCCATGAAAGTTTGGTAGAAGGGACTTCAGTCATTTTCCATATCAGAAGACATATAAGTACCACAACGCATTGATTACACCAAAAGACACCTCTGAAGGACTTCTATTTATTGCCAACCAAAAGCCATAAATCTGATACCATAGCACCCATACTAATTAAGCAACAAAATACACGTTTATGAATTACGAAAATAGACCGAATTTAATAGCCAATTTCTTGTAAAAGGGAAAAAACCAAATATATTCATTGATGTATGTTTATAAGAATCTAGTCATAGAGTAAGGGGAAAAAACTAAGTATGGTGCCCAAGACGAGGAAGAAAGAGAGAAAGAATGAAACATTACCCCAGTCCTCCATCAACTATCAACTTTTGCTCACTGAAAGACTTCAAAATTTAGATAACTGCAAGAATTCAGATAAATTTATGACGAGGATTTCGTAATAAAATAATAAACAAATTAAATCCGAAAAATGAGAGACAGATCCAACAAATTATATATGATAATCATAAAAGGGGATAACTAAAAAATACAACCAAGATTAAAAGTTGAGACAATAAAAACGCATGTACCCGTACTTACAATTCAAAATATTATAGAAAAAGGACGAACCTGTTAAATTAGTATCAAAACCCCTACGCACCGCTTGACAGGCGAAAATTACAACTCGCAATCGAGAGAAGATTCAAAGATTTCAGTGAGCTAAGTATAGACGGAGATTAAAGAGGAAACTACAAAGGCCAGACAAAGAATCTGATTTATTACGGTTTTTGGTTATTTTCTCGTCTACTTTTAAAAATATTCGATTTCTTTTTCGACCTTTCTTAAATATTCGATTTTTTTAATGAGAATCTCACCGTCATTTGGGTTTACCCTTCCTTACAAGAAGGCTGAAGGATTCTTTTTGGGTGTTTATTTAATGTGATGAATAGTGTTAAATTAAAGTAATTATATAAATTTCCCATTTTACCATCTCTTCCCTTTTGTAACAATTTTTTATTCCATCTATATCATTTTGTTCTTTTAGAATTAATATCTATTAATTTATTTATAACTCTTTAATGTGATGGTTATTTTCATTTAACATTTATTTTTAAATTCTGATAGAATAATAATTGATAATTATTGATACAATAAATTAAAATCATTCATTAAAAAATCGAAAGTTACAAATTTGAAAATTAGAAGTTAAGAATAAATTAGCACTGGAATAATTATTGATTAAATAAATTAAAATTTTTCATTAAGCCACTTTTTGGCTCCATTAAAATGATAATTCATTTTTTTCTCTTCTTATCAATCACATATTATCCAATAAAATAATATTATACGTAATTTAAAATTTTTTTCCTTTTTTAATCTCGTATTTTAAAAATATATTATTTCAAATATTGGAATTTCAAATAATGAGGGTTAAAGGGGGGATATTATTTTTAATTTAACTATTTTAGTAATAATATAATTTCTAATTAAACAGTTTTAAAGTAACACCAAATTTTGTGTAACTTTTACATTAAAGTTGGTGTAAAAAAAGTTGGTGCAAAATTTGGAGAGATTACACCAAAGTGCAACAAATTTGATGTAAATCTACATCAAATATGATACAAACCATTGGGAATCATCTTAGACGGTATAATTGCACCCCGCCCCCCCTTCTTTTGAACATCACATGAGTACCAAAGGTGTTCAAAAAGATAAGGCTAAGGGTGTTGTTGGTTTGCGTTTCCATTTTCTGTTTTCTATTTTAAGGGACTATTTTCGAATTATAGAAAACGGGTTTGATTTGTCATTTTGAAAAACGATTTCTCAAAACAGAAAACTAGAAAATGCTTTTGGTTTAAAATTTTTAGAAATTGTTTTATGACATTTATTCAATTAATTTGATTATTTAGTAATACATAATAATTTTAAGCTAATACATAATATATATTTTAAACATGGTGAATTTACTATTTTTTCTTGCTACAAAAATAACATAATAAATGTTAAGAAATTATTTTATGACATTTATTTAATTAATTTGATTATTTAGTAAAACATAATAATTCTAAGCTAATATATTACCAGATAATATATATTTTAAATTTGGTGAATTTACTATTTAAAAAGCACTGGAGAGCGTCCCAAAAAAAAAAATCGACAAAAACGGCGTGTTTTGAGCGTTCTCCGTATTTTGGATTTTTTAACTGAAAATGCCTAAAATGGAAAAAAAAAATCGTTTTGCATTTTTAATTATAAATTTTTCCTTGTTTTCGGAAATGCATTTTCAGAAACAAGTGACCAAATGCATTTTAGGCACTTTCGAAAATTAAAAATAGAAAACGGCAAAAGAAACGCCCCCTAAGTGTTTGAAATGGAGAAAAATTATGAAGAACAAAAAATGCAATTATGAAGAACAAATTTTTTGTTCAGTTGAACCAAATACATTGAATTCTCAACTCGAAAAAATTAAAGTTAAAATATTTTTAATGAAATTGAACTAACTCGGACAATGAAAATATTCAGGTTCTCAAGAATTTAGAGTGGTTTTAATTTTTTAATATGCTATACTTAGAACCTTTTCAAAAGATTTAATATTTTTTTAAAGAGCATGTTTTATAATTTAGAAAGTATCTATAAATTTAAGAAGTAAAATTTTTTAAATACTTCAACGAATGCTTTATTTTTAACACTTAATTTTACTATTTCTAATATGTATTTATTATTTTTTCTATCTTTTATTTTTACCGGCTTTCGACTTCCCTCCAAATTATTATATTATTTCACTCAATTTTCTTTTTATATATTATTTAATCGCATGAATATATGGAGCATTGAAAAATTAGAATATTTTGAATGTACTTAATTATAAAGAGTTGTTCTCTATTCTAAAATATTAATTTAAAAAGATTCTTAAAATACAATTTTAAGAGTTGACTCTTTAAATTGGAGAGTATTTCACTTTTAAAGAAATTCTTGGAGATGTTCTTAGTGCTCAAAAATTCTAATGTGAGACCTTGTTTAAATTTTAATATATTTCAATATCCAATAATTAATAAATTACAATAATAAATGTCTTAAAAAATACAGTGGTCTGTATAAAATTTAAATAACTTAGGACTCTTAATCATATAAAATACTTGAACACATATCAGCGGGATTATAATTGAAATGTAATTTGGATATTTGAAATTCCTTTGAAAGGACAAATGGAGCCAACCTTATTAAGCCCCTATTTGATAGGAATAAAAGTCAAATTTAGTAAATTTCAATAAAAGATGATGAAATGTGTGGTTGAAAAGTTTTGGATCCCGTAAAATACGTTATTAAAATTAATTATTGACTTTAATTTATAATTTTAATTTCTACCGGATAGGGGCTAAGAAATATAACCATAACCGCGGATGAAATAATAGAGGTATATTATTAGGAAAAAATCGTATACAACCAAGTAAATAAAAATATTTCAGTAAATACTGATCATTATTTTATAATTTATAAATGCTTGATATAAAACAAAAGTAAATCAAAATTACCGGTTCCATAAATTCCTCTCATTCTTTGTAAATGAAATCCAACAATAGCCCACCATTAATTACAATTCCTAATCATTTGCTCAATTGAAAACCATGGAAATTTCAAAATAGAATCATGAAGAGGAAACGTTGAGTGGGTTTGTTGAACTCCGAGATAACATACAATATTTTTTTGAACTACTGTTATGATCTAAAATTTCTTTCGCATATAGAATTCAAGGTAAAGACACACAATCAAAGTTGTTAGAAACAACGATAACTTGCCGTATGATAGAATAGTTCGTATGAATTATTATTTACCATAATTAGTTTGTATTTTTTTTTTCAAATTCAATGATAATCGTTGTTGTGATCCAAAATTTCTTTCGAGTAATTCACATAGGATCAAAGGAAACTTGAATGAATAATGGAAGAAGTTAATGGCTTGGGATAAGGGATTTGATAAAGGAAAGTTTTTGGGAAGATGTGGTGATCCTGTTGTTTGAGCGTAAATAGTAGGAAGCATACATGGACTTCTTTTTTGAATTTTTACTTAAACAAAATATCAGTATTTTCGGTATATAAAATGTGAAAGTGTAATATTAGAATTAATATTTTAATTAGGGTATCCAGTGCAATTTCCACTGTTATCAAAAGTGATGAGCAAGAGCCCAATAAAATTTGGATCTGAAAACTAGATAGAGGACCAAACAGCACATGACCCAGTCCTCCAATGTTAAGTTGAACCAAAAATAGGTTATAACCCAATATAATTAGGACAACTTACAAAAATACCTTGAAAATCAGGGTTATTTGAAAAATTATATAAAATGTATTTTGAAAGTAAAAGAATGCTATATAAAATTAAGTAAGACTTCTAATTAAAAAGTGAAATACAATTTCACTATTGCATTAAAGGTGACATCGTTTTTAATTAAAAGTTATGTATGTCACTTTCTTTATCCTAAATATTTAATTCACATTTAACACAATACAAAATAAATTAACATTAAAAGAGATTCTTATAAGCAATTTGAATGTTTAGCCAAAATATATTATTCAATTTGAAATTGATTGTGTGACATTTAATTAAAAGGTGGCACAACATGCTATGTCACTTTTTAATCAATTCAGCAGAGACAAAAGGCATATCTTTGCGTATGAATTAAGGTGCTAAAATTTAAAAATAACATGTTGTGTCAATTTTTTTTAAAGAAAATCGCATTTAGCTATCTCATTTGAATTTTTTTTTTAATCAATTAAAGATATGCATACAAGGTCTTTATGATAATTTAAATATAAATATGAATTCAAATTTTGCTTTATATTAAAAAGTGACCCAATATAACACTTTATTTGTCCTGCATATAAATTAATTTGCTGGAATTTTAAAGTGAGATGCTTTGTCACATTGAAAAAAAATAAAATAAAATAAAATCTCACACTATTTTATTTATATTATTTGTGTAGATATAATATAAATAAAATTAGTGTCTTTATCTGTTATGGTTGTAAATGTCATTTTTTAAAGGAGTTAATTGTTAAAAAGTATCATGAGTCCATCACACTTTTTGATGATAATGTCACTTTTGAATTACTATTATAAAAGTTTTCAGTGTTGCTTCCTTAAGTTCTTGCAAGAAACAGTGTGTCATTTGTATGTAATCCATCAATAAAACAACTGATGTATCATTATCTTTTCGCATAAACTAAATTAGACAACAAAATTCCTGAGCTCAAAATATATTAGTTATTTTTTTAATTTAATTCTTCTTTTTGTGTCACCTCTTTTGGCTTATTTAATGGCTGTATTTCTTTACTCATCAGGTGAGATTTTTGTTATCTTTCAAAGTATTGACAACAAACTTTGAAAAACATCTTTCGAATTTAAATTTGATAAACGAAGAGTTCATAATAACAAGTTAAAAATGACCACAAGAAATGAACTTAATAATCATGGTTCAAACTTCATAAATATTTACATTGATATCAATAAGGAAAAGAAATAAATAGAAAAATTAATAATCATGATTTTGCGTTCAACAATTTATGTAGATAATTTTTGACATTTAAACGTCGCCCAAGGTCACGTTGTAAGCTTTTAACATACTTTAGTATCGTTCAAAATGGATAATGTAGCATAAAATACATCATCAAATGAATTTTTTTTTAATAATAAAAATGTTAAAAAGCAAAAAATTTTAGATTGATGAGGAGGGTTTGTTTACCTATGTTTTGAATTAATTTGAGCATATTAACTGCCTGATTTTAAGAAGAGGTTTTGTTTTGTCTACATCTAGATGAATTCGAGTATATTAATGCCCTGTTTAAGCCGCATTTTGTTGAAAAATACGTTTTTAAATTATGAT